TCGATGGGTTTTTTATTCCGTCGCCTGTGAGGAATTTGGTTCTGCTAACAAACATTTTACAGAGTATTGTACAGTCTGTGAGAGAGAGAAAGAGAGAGTAGAGAGTCAGAGACAGACAGGGCACTGTTTTTTTCTCTCTCTTTTTCCCTTTTTCTATAACTGGTGTGGCATCTGTCCGATTTCCATCCTTTTTTTGAATGGTTTGGTAAAAGAAAAAGGTTGGTTATGCAGATAAATTTTCAGTGTCTCTGACTTGACCATCCCATTTTTCATGTAACTTTGTTGATAAATTCACCTCTGACAATTAACCTACTTGGTTAAGTTTATGTCAGTGCTGAATGGAACAATTGTTAATTTGTTATATATATATATATATATATATAGCAAGCCTCTCTCTCTCTCTCTCCTTTTTATTATGTTATCAAGTATAGGTTTTATCTTTAATTATAGCCTATTTTGTTGAAAAACAGGCATGAAATTATCTTTAATAATTTCAGGAGGAGTTGGCAAGCTGTATTTTGCTGTGAGTTCAATCTAGTGGGCGGAGGAGAGGAGACCTTTCCAAACTCCAATGGTTTTAATATTCTTGATTACTTTTCTTTGATCCTGTCTTATGACTTGGGTTTTAGGTGATGCCTCCAACGTAGAAAGATTGAACTGTAGAATTAGATAAATGTTGTGTTGATTTAATATGAGAGCCGAGGGAATAGAAAATTTGAAAAATTGTCTAGTTTGGTGAGAGCAAATGGGAACATGAATGAGGATGATGATGGAAGAATGTAGAGCAAGGCATAGATGGTCCAAAATAGGAGCAACCAATGGTCCAAATGGCGCCATAATAGGACACACTCAGTTGCCCATCTCAAGATCTGTCACGCGCCCTCTTTCAAAACTCTCAGCCAGCTTAACGAATGGTCAGAAACCAGTCAGAGTTCACGTTCATCTTGTTTTAAAAAATTAAGCAAAAATGACAACTCCGGGGGGCCTTGGTAGTTAAGAGAAATTAGAGGAGAATTAAGGCATAATCACAAAATTAGAGATAATGGTGGCCGGGTGGGCTAATTTTGCGGTGGGTTTTGGAGTGACATATTTGTATTACATTGAAAGCAATCCTTTTTGAAACGTGGCACTGAGTTTGCATAACGTGGGGTCGTACTGCCACACACGTGCTTCTGAGTTTTTGAATCCCACCCCACCTGCTACTGCTAACCCTACTTTTCTATGTGCTACCGTTTTCTGAATACTCCACTCTTCCAATCTAAACAATTTACATTTACGTTTTTTTGTCTAATTATATATTTTAACACAATCACAGATGTATGAACTCATAATCAATTCAGGTATTATCCATCATCATCTATATTGTCTGTTGATGCTGAAGTTAAATAAATGAACCTACAATAACTAGTCTCGACACTAGTGCAGTGCCCTATCTAATATTATTCAACTATCATGTTAGAAATTGCAAGAAGAGATAAATAGTAAGTACCTTAGTAGATTAGTGACAAATTTTTCACTACCATACGGCCGTGTATTATGTTCCTTTTATAGGTGTTGGAATCGATTGGGAGGATGCTTGGTGTGCATGTGGTAGGATCTACTTATGTACAGCTTTGACGACAGGCCATTAGGAGACAATCTTAGCGAGTGGTAGCACCCGTGTCGCCAGCCACACTGACTCACTACAAATGTCCTAAGTGTGGCGTATTATGTTTTTTGCTAAGCCCAACGTTCGTAGGGAGTTTGGTCTCCACTACCAGATGTTGCTACTTGAGCCTCACATGTTTTCTGCTCGTCTCACCATCAACATGGTCAATGATTCAATTTCCCACGGTTGAATTTCAAAAAACCAAAAAAAGAACTCTTGACCGTATATCTTAATGTTGTCTTTTTTTTTTAGAAAAGTTAAATTTTATTTTTATTTTTTGAGATGATATAATTAAGTTTTTTTTTTTGTTTGAGTACAACATGTGAGGGGAGGAATCGAACTCACAATCTTTTGGTTGAAAATATATGTTAATTACCACTAAATTATACTCGTTTTGACAGATGATATAATTAAGTTTTTAAAACTAATAAAAAAAAATAATGTTAGCGGTATATTTTACACGAAGATGGGTCAACTTTGCAGTTGTGTGTTTTTCTAAATTTTTTAATGAGAACTTCGGTTGTTTGATTTGAGATTGCATCAGCTCCAGCGAGGCATCAACCGTACTGTAGATTTGCAGAGCAAACAGCAAAGCAGAACATTTGAAACTACGGCTTTAGGGCAAAATTGAAAATAATAGACCGCCGATCCCAAATTAAGCAACCATAGATTAATTTATTCTTTTGAATTATTTCCCGAATAATATCATAAATCAAATAAATTACGAATCTCTGGTTTAATTGTTTTGGTTGTTCATCTATTTTGCGAGGTCGGGAGAGGGGAGCTACTGTAAATCTTGGTGAAATGAAACCGCTGGGATGGTGGCTGCTACTGGTGGGTTCGCTCCGATTGGCCTCCGTTTGGTTCGGATTCTTCGACATCTGGGCTCTGCGGCTCGCCGTCTTCTCCAATACTACCAGTAATCTCTCAATCTCTCTTGGAAAAATCTTAGACATCCATTAATTTAGCTTCTGCAACTCACGTTGAAGATGTGCATTGTCTTCTCTTGTATCCAGATGCATGAATCTAGTACTGTTATCTCTCTAATACTCCCGTGAGAAATTAAATTTGCACCGGAATTAAAATTCGAAATACTTCTTTTATTACGCTTTGCTATCACGGACTGGAGTTGTTGTTTCGTATTTCGACCCGTGACCTACAGGGCAAATACCCTAATGTTTAGCTCTGTTTTCGTGTTTTACATTTTCCAAAGCAAAAAATGTAATCGTGTTTCTTCACACAAGGTGAATATTCCTAAGTTGGAACCGGAATTACCTTTTGAAATTGTCTTTCCTTGAGAACACTAGCTTAATTTGATGTATAAGAGGGCTGTATACGGTTCCCGAATTCCAGTTTTGATATCTTCTCTTATTTGTGAACTTCTGTTTCATACTCGATATTCTCTGTTGAAAGAAAGTATATAGACTATCAATATTCATTCTTCATGCTGGCAGATTTAGTTTTCACTCCGGAAAATTGTGTTAAGAGGAAAAGCCAGCAAGGTGGATATATCCATGCCATAATCAAATTGAAACCATGGCTCCTTAGTCTCACGGAACAAACACAAAATAAGTATGCACATTAGCCCGACCAAAATATTAGCAAATATTTCTTTCTTCCCCATAAGTTGCTCAACTTTCCAGTGTTGTTTGGCTATGTATCTTGTTTTAGTGAATGAATGTGTTATCATTTTGTGGAATATTCTGTTTCATTGTATTGTAGATGTTAGATTATTACTAATTTAGTATTTTAACCTATTATGGTTAGTTTATTCATTTAGATTGTTTCTTAATTGTTTTCATTGTGAACTCAAACTTCGATCGGTGAAGTTCAAAATGTTGCTGTAAGTGCAAGTTGGAATTGATAATTTGTGGTTGTAAATATAAGATCTCTTGTCTTGATGGTATGTTAAATTATTATTAATTCTAGAAGCTCAAACTATTATGTTAGAGGAAATTTTCTTTTATTTAAAGTGTTCCATAGTCTTCTCATTGTGTGGACTCAAAACATTAGTGATATCATGTTAAATTATTATTAGTTCTAGAAGCATAGATTTATGTTGGAGAAAATTTGTTTCTTTAAAGTATCTGTCCTCTTCATGTGTGTGGATTCAAACTTGATTTTGACTAGCAAATCTAACATGTGGATTTGTAGTAAATAGGAAAATAGCTATGCATGGATTTCAATGTAGAGAGGGTCCCCTATTCTAATGTCATATTAAATTATCTTTAGTTTTAATTATCAGGTTAAGGTTAGTTCACTATTTAAGTTATTCCTCAACTTTTGGTGCCTATTCATGGTATTATATTTGGGTATGCTTAATCCTGATTATTCCTCTCTCTTGCTGTCTCTCGTGATAGTGACTGAAGTTCATGGAAGGACATTTGGAGTGTGGACACTCCTAACTTGCACACTCTGCATTCTCTGTGCATTCAACCTTGAGAATAGGCCCATTTATTTGGCGACCTTTTTATCTTTCATATATGCTTTGGGGCATTTCTCAACGGAATACTTGATATATCATACCATGTCCATCGCAAATCTGACGACTGTTGGCATCTTTGCGGGTATGACTGCTAGAATTAAATTCTTCAAGATTGAGTTGAATTTCTACTTTCACACCTTTTGCTCTATGTTCTATTTTCCTCTGGTATTTTTTAGCCTTAACTAAAACGAATAATTTCTCATAAAAATTTATCTGAACTGATCCTATATGGCTACATACTGTTACGAGATCAAATATGTAACTTGTCTCTGAAGCCTGGTTCTCTCTTTCTTATGACACGGTAACATATATTAGTTGGCCATTTCAGACTTGAAGATCGATTTTGCTCCCTTTCATGATTTTGCTTTTGTTCTGAAATATGATATTTGTTGCTCAAAAGGGGGAAGAAATAATACTTGTTTTGTTTACTCTGTTGTTTTTACCTTCAAATTTTGATTAACCATAAAGATAACTTCATTGATGTTAACTTTTTGATAACAGGTACATCAATAATATGGATGCTGCTCCAGTGGAATGTACACCAAAGAAATCACCCCAAACATTCTTAATGAGTATTTGCTCAAATTTAATCTGTGGAGGAACTTATTTTCTTAGATTCAGGATGTTGAATAAACAGAGAATATTGCTGTAGTAGACAGAACCCGTGTCTTCCTTTTAATCGGTTTTTGTTGGTTCAGTATACTGCCTTGCTGATGGTCCTCCAAACTTGTACTGAAAATGGAACTAATTGAGCTGCCATTGCCAAGGAACAAGCCATTTGCTCTATGAGGTTTCTTCATTGCAGTTTTTAGTTATAAGAGGTCAATCTTTTTCGTAACAGTTGTCTCATAATTTAAATTCCTTTGAAATTTCTGGCATGATTGATCCCGCTTGCTGCTGCAATCAAGATGCTCATCCTCACTATAATACTCGTACTAGGTTCTGCTTCACAATTAAAACCAAACCGAGACCGTGACAACCATTTATTTATTCTTGATTGCCATCAACGGCTGGGTAAAGATGGAAGACTCAAATTGAATTGCATCAGTTGTTACCTTAATACCTTGTTATTTAGCATCCTGTCCCAACTCCACAAACAACATAGCACAAGTACACTGCACTATAGATTGGCTTGTAATTTCAGATACCACGTTCTCTGTTTCTCCCTCTCCCTCTTACTCAGCTTTTTACCTGTAGCGCTTATGGGACAAAAGGAAGATAATTGCCTCATGGAGTTGACAAGCCCCGACCTCCTCCCACAGCCACACGGTGGATCGATCATATCAGAATTGTCATTTCCTCCATCTTTTTCCAAAATCATTCTGTAAGTCATTTCAATGTTATTCAAAGGAAATAAACATGCATTTGATTTGAGATCACTCACTTTGGTTGGGTTGCTTTGTGCAGCTGAAATTTGCTCTGCTTGTGACCGTCTGAATAAATTTAGTTACTTTGGAATGGGCTAATCTTGTCGGAGCACCCCTTTGTATCTTTTTGGTTCTTCAATTTCAGACACGATTCTCTTCAACCGAGACAGACTGGTTGGGTGCCTCAAGTGATAAAAGAAATTAAAACTGAATTCTGAAAAGGATCAAGTGGACGGTATTGAGACTAAATCACCATCTATCTCCATAAAGCAAAATTAAATTCTCCTTTTACTTCCACTTGCTGCATACTATTATTCTCCATATATTCCCAGGCGCTTCTCTAGGACGTGCAAGCAGCAGCACTTTTTGTTGAATTCAAACAGGCGGAAAGTGCTACACCAACTCACTTCTCACCAAACGCGAGGCTACAGCTTCAAGAGCTAAACTTTTTTTTGAAAAAATTATTCAAATGCGTCTACTGAATTTTACACCACAAACTTTTGAAAATTCTAACGCTTCTCAAGTCCTCCTGACACAAAACTAATCTCTTCCTTTGCAGTAGTTGGAATTATCAGTTAGAGACTGTTAATTTGCTTTCTTGATGCACAAAATACGCAGCGGTTCAACTAGCGCCATACCCGATTGCACATCAATTCACTTCACGCCCCTAAACTACACAACACATTTATGTATCTGATATTCAGGCCAATGCAGTCAAGTACAGATGTTGTAAGCAATGATCAACCCAGCGCAAGCAACTGTGCTTCCCTTCCAGGTTGTTGTTTGAGAACTCGAAATTAATTGTCAATAATTCAATTTGTCACATGCTATAAGAGAAAATTGTCAATCATATGTTGGATTACACTGACCCCATCAGAGTTGACACTGTACCTATTGACCTGAAAGAAACGTGTAATAAGAAATTTTTACTTGAGAACAACAGCAAGGTCAAATCCAAGGATGATCACTCGCAACTCACAACAAGTGTCTAGTTCTGAGTATCCTAGATAAAGTTTTAGGCTGCAGGATAAAAACTTGCCTGAATGGTAAGGTGTGCAGCATGCCTTTGTTTACTTTCATGGAAGTCAACATCGACCCGGTCCCAGCCCACACTTGATAAACCTTTGATCATTTCTTCTACAATTATTTTTACCACGATAAGAACATATGAACAATAAAATCACAAAAAAAAAAAAAAAGCTTATGAATAAAAATAACAGGAGACAAGCTTGTGATAGGTTTCAAAGTGACTAAGGAAATTAAAGTGGTAAGGAGTGCTAATTCAAGTGGCAACTAATTATAGAATTGGTTACCTTCCAAACGAATTTTCTTGCGTCCATTGGCTTTGGCCTCTGATGGAACATATAATTGTGAACTGGAAAGTTTTGCTGTCTCAACGTTAACAATATATGGATATTTGCTATCTCCTGATAAATGTTTGAGCTGATAGGAAAAACCAGTGAGGAATTAGTTCAAGGTCCGCATAGAAAAGTTGGTGTAGAATGTCCAATATTACCTTTGGCAACTCCTTGCGACGCCTTATCGAAGATGTACTCCATCCAACGACGTCTGTACATAGTGTCAAGATTTATATATAAACCGAGGGCAGTAAAACTGTCAATCTGATAAGCAATGACTAAAGAGTAGAATAGAATTGATGACTCGAGTATTTAATCATTTTGAATTCAGATCTTAGAAATATAGGTCAGTAGAGAAACAATAACAAGGATACTGTCATAACGCACATTAGCGTAGGTAACTCGACGCCTAAACGACTGCAAAGCAGATCTGCAGTAGAGAAAGAACCATAATGTTACTGGTCAGAATGAGTTTCGCTCAAAGCAAGCAAGAAGAAAATGTTGCAAACTCGATCTTAAAAAAAATGGTCTCACAAAAATTTGAGATCTTCGCGATCGCCAGCCATCTGAAGAAGAAGGGGGCATTTTCTATTGTCAAGTAAAAATAAGTGTCTCCCAGTCTTACCAAAGAAAAGTGATGTGCAAACAGCTACTTTTTCCAGGACATAAAAGCCACAACACATGGGGACCTGTAATGTAAAGAACACCCCATAATATCACGATCCACATGACTATAAACCATAGTTGTAAGGAAATGCAGAAACATTGCATGTTAATTAGACGGCTGTTTTATAAAACATGGAAGCTCACAAGCATATAGAAGATAAGAATATATGGTCAAATAGCCTATATTTGGCCACCAAGCATTTCTAGACACAATGCAGATGATGCCTTTAAATTTTTCATCACAATGTCACATTGTGACAAAAATGCAGAAGCGCCACTTATGTAAATTAAACAAGAATAGATAAAAAAAAAACATTGATTTATTCACCTGTTTATGCCCTCTTGAACCAAGATGTGGGGTTGCACATGTAATAAAATTAACAGGTTCAAGCCCTGCTATTTTCCCTTTAAATTCCTCTTTCCTGCTTTGATCTCTCGACCACCCATGATTGCTACACTCTCCATTTACTTTGACATCTTCTTTTCGTTCATCTTGCTCGTAAAGCTTTGCAATGGCATACCTTGCTATCAGGCCGCCTAAGGAATGGCATAGGAAGGAAATCTTTTGAACATCTGGATGCCGTTCGATAACCGACACAATCTGAATAGAAGACAGAAACATAAATAGAGCAATTTTAAAGATATAAGTACTTTTGACATATGGAAAATAAATAAAATCTACATGGAAACATGGAAATACAAAGTTAGTGTTGGAATGATGGCACACCTCTTCTGCTAGTCTTCCTCCCATCACATCAACACCATGAAAGGTCAATGTTGAGTGATTACATTTACTACCTGTAAAAGAGGCTCGTTACGATTTGAACACAAATGTATTCAGATAGAAACAGAAAAACCAGAAGAAAATATGCAAAGGGTAAGCTTCCTTCACGTTGTGTTTACTTTTAATGTTCAAAGTAAAAGAAGATCTCATTGAAAGACTCACAATGAACAACAATATCTTCAGGATACGCCTTCAAAAACTGCGCCGCTGCATATTTCCAATCTTCAGCACTGCAAAATGCATTACCCAGAAAAGAAAAGAAAAGAAAAAGTCTATATAAATACCAAATGGCAGATTCGTCTGGAGTAACTCAACATTCTACAGTTAAAGCTAGGAATTATCAGAAGTAGAACAACAAGATCGCGTTGATTATGAGATAACTCGTCGGTTAACCGATCCATGGTAGTGATTAATCAGAAATTGACACAGAAACAGAGCCATTTAAATGCAAGTGAAGATATAGATGGGTACAAATAACCAAAAGAATTTCACAAGAGTAACCTGCCAACGAGACCGTTAACCATTATGAGAAGATGGGTGGGCTTCCGACGATCCACAGAACCATCAACGACCTCCATATCAAAATTCCCCTTCTCGTCGCGTTGCACTCTGAAACATCGGAATCCGATCCTGGGTAGGTAAAACAACGCCGTACGAATCCGATTCTTCTTCGGCCCATTCGTCGTCCCGTTCAAATCTACTTCTCCCCTTTTCTCCGCATTTTCCACTGATCCTCTGTTTGGCATCTCGCCTACAGTCTCGGAAGTCGGCGTTTCCGACTCCAGAGAACCCATAAATAAGCAAGCGAGAAGAAAATGAGAGGTCAGCGGAATAAAAGGAAGAGAAGGCAGCGTTTGAGAGTCAGCAACCCCGGAACGAAGGATTCGAAATTGTTCAGCCCGCTTGAGGTTAGGTTGAAAGCGGTTGAAGTAGTTATATGGGAAAATGGCCAATCGCCCACATGCGGCCCCACCGGCTTACGATGAGGGCCCACAGCCATTCTGATACTCCGAYGGCGATGGCCATGGCGACTCTGACTTTTATCCGCAATCTCACCCCGACGCTGAACCTTCATTTCCATTCTCCAGAATTTCCGATTCATAAACTTTGATCATCTAAGTCAAATAGAGAATTTACAGTGGAAGAGAAGCGTGGGGGTAAAATTGGGAAACTGGGGTGGTGGTGGATCTGTCAGCTTCTCGTTGTCTTTGAATTCAATAGAAAAGTGTAAACAGAGCACCGCCATTTCCACGCTTTGGACTTGACCTCTTGGGTTCTTCCGGGGTTTGATGGTGGCTGACTCAGCAGATCACATTTCTCCAATGATTCGGCGCCACGAGTCAGAACCGCTGAACCTTACAGTGAGCTCGAAGCAGGTAATTGCGAACCCAATAATAATAATATTATTATTGGCATTTGCCCATTGCCCATTGCCCATTGCCCATTGCCACCGTCTTTTTATTTTTTTCAACACTTTTGTATTCGCTTCCATATGAAGGAAACGCTCCCCTCGTTTTCTTGTTTACTAATTAAGATGTCAAACCCAAATCGCGTTTAAGTTCAAAAAATCATTTCTATGACCAATTTTCAACTTGTGGGATATCGTCTGATTTGATTAAATAAGCTTTTAATGCTTGATTTCATTGAATCTGATACTAAAGATGACGAGTTATAATTTTTCAGAGTTGAGCAAGTCCAAGATTAGTTCTTTTTTTTTTTTACCTGGGAAGGAGGAATTTTGAATATTCTTCCTATTGTTTTCTCATATGAATATTTTAAAGTAAGGCCAAGCTAAGAATTTCCTCTATTTTGTTTTAAATAATGAGGTACTTATCTAATAGCTAAAAAAGGATGGTTTTTTTCTGTTGAAGTGGTTGGCCAATGCATGTAGGTTGAGTTGTCTTCTAGCAAAATCGCCAGTTTCGGTATAAAAACTGTCATATTTCTTAAATTGTTTTACAAACGATCATAGGTAAACCCAATATTGGTTGATAAAAGACAACTCATTGACTTTATATTAGGGAAAATATGGCGTGTTTTGACCGATAAATTAACTTCTAGAATCTCTCCCGTGGAACCCAGAAACTACCCTGCCCCAAAAATATATCCCTCCCTAATTTTCAACTTTGATTGATTTTTTCCCAATTTTTTTTGTCTTTTTCTTCTTCGACTCCCCAGTTGTAGAGAGAATCGCATTTTTATTGACTTTTCCCAGGGGAAATATTTTATCGACTTAAAAAGAGAAATAAAATAGAATCTACATTTCCATTGACCGTAATTATATATATAAAAATTAGCCTACCAAACAAATCCAGATAGATCTTGAGGGCGAAAATAGCCTACTTTCATTAATTTGAAATAGAAAACGTGCATAACTGTGGCAACCAAGCCTTAATATTTATTGGGCTCTGATTTTAGGATTTTGAGAATAAATTACATCATTAACTAACCTACCAACTAGATTCTCGAAAAAAAAAACCTAATCCTAACAACTAATTGAACTATATTAAAGTCAACATGAACTTAACTCAGTAGTAATTAGTATCTATTTTTTACCAAGAGATCATAAGTTCAAATCTAGTACCTCACTTGTACTAAATAAAAAATAAAAAAATTACAAATATACCTCTAATAAGCTTCCATCATATAGGAAAGCTTTTTCTAACTAGTGATGACTCGTATTTATATTAGAAATATTTCGCCGCCATTGATTCCATCCTTTTTCTTGCAAAATAATAATCCAATGTTATATACAATTAACTTTAAAAGATTAACTACAGGTTCGAACTCAAATTTAGTAGCTTCAGACGGCCTTGCCTAACGGGAACTTGACGTGCACGACATTCAAATTAAACTCTAATATTGAGATTTGAGTACAGATTTAAAGCAAATTGTTGATTATTTTATGGAGGCCATCCAGATTTGATTTCTTAATTTAACATGGCGTATCAAGTTGTTACATATTTATAATTATTATATTCTAAATATTCTTATTGGGCATTTCAACCTCTTACTTAGGTAACCAGTGGACCCAGCGAAGCCATACCCTGTAGCAGCCTAAGAGACAAGCCTGTGAGAAGAAATATAATATCTGCAAGGATTCGAATCTGGACCGTTGATTTTTCTTCATGTAAAAAAAGAACAAAACTTTAAACCAAATACAGAAATTATAATAATCATTACAATTTAGAGAGAAAAAAACAAAAAAAGATGAGGTTATGTATAGCATCTCTCCAAGAAGATTTAATAATCAAAACAAGGCCAGG